TGAATAAGTAAGCGTTGATACTTTATAAATCAAAACAATAATTCTTTTCAGAACTTTTCATATTTAACACTGAAAAACTTGTAGTAACTTCTATAAAGGAATCTTCAATTTTAAGATGTCTACATAAAAATATAAATATTGATAAAAAAAACAATTTTTCAGAAATATGAACTTTTCATAATAAACTCTAATAAACTTGACTATTATCTTCTATAAAAGAATCTTCAATTTTAAGATGTCTACATAAAAATATAAATATTGATATAAACTCTTAACATTAGTCTCTTCACATGTTTCTTAAGATTTATGTCAACGCTAGTATTTTATTGTGACACAAAACAAGATAATTAACTTATGTTCTACTTTGTACGACAAACAATTAGTTTTAAGACCTAATCTCTATATATACATTGCTTTTTTATTCAAGTTCATTCTTGCAAACAATACAACCCGATCCAAATACAGTTCTTTTTACAATCAATATATAGCTTGAAAATTGAAGGACATATTTGTACATTCATTAAAATGCAAATAACAATTTCGCCCCGAAATCGTAATCGGACAAAACTTTAAGCACTTACGCAATGTATATCTTAAGAGGTTAACATCCGAATGTCATTGAAATAAAAAAGAATATGCTTAGTACATAATTATACATGTCATACTAACTTTAAATCAAGAGGAAAATATTTTCATTATATTAAACTTCTATGAAAAATAAAATCAACATTAAGAACAAAGATCAGCCGATTCAAGCACATTTTAAGGAGAAGAATGTAATAAATACTCACACCACGATTATATCTATTCCAAGACATTTTTTAATTCCTTTTATTCCATTCCTAGGTCAGTTACCATGCAAGATTACTAAAAAGTTGGCCAGCTCTAAGCAGTAAATCCAAAAAATCCAGAGGTCATGTAAAGTAAAAACTTCAATCGATTCCTATTATAACGCCTTTAGAATACGTATAAACCCTTTAACTTGTTCTATAACAATGGAGTTAAGATTCTTATCGCTGACGTTACAGAATTGAATTTTACAAATTTGTACACCGTATATATATATATTTAACCAGCCAGTACGATAAAGAATATATCAATATAATGGCTATATCGGTTCACCGATACAAACTTTGCTTAAAACTTTCTTAATCAGGTGTTTCAACAGGAGAAAATCCTCTTATGAATTAATTTGTATTTAACGCCTTTAATTGTATGACGACGGCGACGACGATGTCATCATAATTCTATCATGATAAAACTGATTGTCCGGGGTATAACACATAGAAATATGTGTTTAGACTAGTCAAAAATAATCTATAGTCAAACTGTTTAAATGTTTGTTTTAACATATTTAAATCTTTTAAATCAATATTTTTGAAGAGTAAATTCTTTTTTTTAACTCTTCTGCATAGTTTTGGGTTTGAAGTTTATATAACATAGATTAAATATTTTCATGAAATGTGAAAATAACATGAGACAAAATTAATTTAAGAAATGTGACAAAAAAGTGTTCTAATTATTTGAGCATACTTAGATGTAAGCCAGTACTTCTTTTTTTATTCATTTTAGCTAATTACTCATTTTTAGAATAATAAAAAAGTTTTTAAACATAAACTTTTTTTATTCTAAAAATGAGTAATTAGCTAAAATGTTTGTATTAAAGTAAAACAATTTTATATCTAATAAACTTTTTGTCCTTAACTGTTTGAATACTTAGAATTTTAATCTTCTACCCTTATAACACAACAAGAAGTACAATATTAAAGAATACATGACTATGTATTTATTTTTTTTAGGTTGAGTTTTTAAGTCAAATCGACAATTTTTTAAGGTCATAATTATGGCAACTTTCCAGCTTAGAGTGGTGACCCCTCCATGCATTATTTCAGGTACCACCAGTCCCTGACTATAAAGTTATAATGAATTATCAGATAAAAAAGTTCACGCAATAACCCTGTAACAAATTAAGCTTTATTTCAAACAAGGATAACAATTAATCACATAATTATACATGTACTAGCGATAATTACCAAAAATAGAACACAATAACTAAATCCCTTGCATAATAATCACCCGAACTTGAATGTAACTGCAAATTTTCTTCAAACACTTAAAATCATGTAATTATTACTAAATGTTATAGATAAATCCTGTAAAACTTGAATTAACAATTTGAATTCAAACTTACTTAATATATGATTTAAATATCAAACTCCATTATGAATGCAAGGAATAATACATATAAAAAATCTAATTCTGTTTAGGTTTTCTTAAAATTATCTTTCTTTTAATATATACAATGCGCTGGTTTTAATAACTGAAAATCATTCTGAATTTACAAAGCAAACCACAATTCTCAATTGAATTCTCCCGACATTTGAACAAAAAGGTACACCAAAATGATCGAACTAAAACTTGGCACACGTTTTTTTAATTAGGGAATATTGCAAATAAATTGTTTGTCCGTATCAATTAAAAATACACATACAATCCTCTATCGGCACTCATTTCTTTAAATATGAAGCAAAAACTAGTGCAGCCGATTTAATTGAATATTTTTTTCCCCTTTAACTCTATTATAGACCTGTCTTTTAATTTGTACAATATAAAATTGATTAAGTCTTTCATGCAGCTCAAAATCTTTCTTTCAACATTCATTTTACCTAATGGAGTCCGAATTTTTTTTTTTAAATAAAATGAAATAAATTATGAATAATGAACATAGTAATTATGCATTTTACTTGTGCAACTGTTTGTATAAAGTCCATTATATTTTAGAAAAGATTATACTGACAGTTAAGGAATATGAGCCGTGTCACGACAAAACCAACATAGTGGGTTTGCGACCAGCATGGATCTAGACCAGCCTGCGCATCCGCGCAGGATCCATGCTGTTCGCTATCAGTTTCTGTACTTGTAATAGGGTTGGTAAGCGAACAGCATGGATCCTGATCAGACTGCGCGGATGCGCAGGCTGGTCTGGATCCATGCTGGTCGCAAACCCATTATGTTTGTTTTGTCATGACACGGCTCATATATTTTTTTAATATAAATATCGCATCTGACCCTAAATTGCTCTTTTACAAAAACAAAATTGCCACTTTACTATTTAGTTCTGCGCTTATCAAAATAATTAAATCAACATTTTGAAAAGAAATCCATAAGAAAACGGAAATATTAATATATTAATGAAATGAATGATTTTTTTTTTCTTCTTTAGAAAATGCAAACATGTGGTGAATAATATTTTAATAATGAATCAAAAGTTTTTGCTTATATCTGAAACATAGAGTTTACTACATGGCGATCGATAGCAGAGTGCGTAAAGTAATGAAATTATTACAATTATAAAGTTAACAATTTTTTTATATATATTTCTTTTGGTTGGGTTTTACTTTGCACCAACACAGTATAGGTCATTATGGTGACTTTCCAGCTTTACTGGTGGAGGAAGACCTCAGGTGCTCCTTTATGCTTTATTTCAGGCAAAAACGGGCACCTGAGTAGATTCACTGATGTTCTGAAAGTTACCTGGAAAGTCAATATCTAAGATAGAAGACTCAACAAAAATGTTACATTTATAATTAATTATGTCTTTATAATTGCATTTTTTATAGTCTAAGTTTCATGCTTACGCACGTTCACCGACTTTACAGCTATTACCCCTGGTCATCGGGCTACTGGTATCTATCTATCAATCTCCCTGGGGAGTCTTTTAGCTCCGCTTATTGCAGCCGACACTTTGGCGCAACGGATTTATACCACCCTCGCAGGTACCCATTTACACCTGGGTGAAGTGAAGCAATCGCAGGTAAATTTCTTGCTCAAGGAAATTAGCAGTGCTCCTAGTGGGGTTCGAACCCGGGACCTCTCGATCCCTAAGCGCGCGTCCTACCACTGGACTACTGCTCCTACTTTTCCTTTAAGCAATAAGAGAGATTCAGAGACGTAACTTGTGTAATGATGGAGAGAATTTTCTTGTACCAGTTTGCTTTATAATATTCAAAATGTTTAACTTTCATTTTGGACAAGCCAATTTTTAATTTCAATTTCACAGTATAAATTTGCAAGTTTGGTAAAGCCTGTTCAAACAGTGCAGTTTATAATGCAGACTGGCCCACATAGTTCTATCCTGGTTGCAAAGGCTAAAAAATTGCAGATTTAGTATCTGCATAGAACGGATTAATGTCAATATGCTTGTATTTCAAAGATCATGTCTGTACTTAATGTAAGGGAAAAAAATGGGGGAAAAAAACACTTGCTTTATCTAGAATCTTCCTTGCTGAGATAAACATAATTCAATGATTTACAATTTTGAAATGTTTATCTTAGTATAAAGTTTTAAATTACAAGAGTGATGGTAAATATAAAAGAATGTTGTTTTTTTTCTTCTATAAATTTTTCAAATCATTGAAAATCTTAGCAAGGGAGACAACTCTAGTAATCCTACAACACACACTGTAGCATTCAGCATTTTCACTTTATCAACTATGATAGATGGTTTTGTTAATCCTTTCTGAGAAACAAACAAGGGTTGTTCCATAACTTTGTGACAAATTTTATTGGAAGCTTAATTTTAAAGTTGGCTGTACAATCATTAATTATTCATACAATAAGTTCATATCATCAATAAATAGATTATTTTTCATTACATCAGGTCATCTATAAAATATTTACTTTTATTACTTTTAAATTCTCATTATTAAAATAAACTTTGGTCTGAATTCCACAGGCAGCTTTATTGGGATTCGAACCTAAAACAATGAATGTAAAATTCAGAAACTAAATTAGACAGCCATGGCGGCTTTTAATTCATTAGATAAATAAAGTGAAAATGCTGAGATTATCTACTGACTATCTACCAAAACAAAGTCATGTGATAAATCATCTGGGTATCAAAACAATTATCTGGGTATATTCATGGCAAAGTCAAGGTCAATGTGCTCAAGGACACAAGCGAACGTGTCAAAATCTCCATGGCAACCCATTTTACTCACTGATCTCCGATCCCCACTAACTGAGCGCTCCCTAGACCACCTTGTTGGCGTTGAATCTCTACCCCTCGAAGGTTCCGATACCCTAGAATTGTCTGGCTGAATACTTTCAGTATTGCCAGAGTTGGACTCCTGCTCGAGCTCCGTGCATTTACGTTTGTACTGCAGGACCTATCACATAATAATGGAAATAAGAAAAATGTGCAAAAAATATACAAGGAAAACCCAATGCCATGCTTTAACGTGCTTTTCTCTCTATATACGTTGCAAACTGTGAAGGTTTGGTGCAGATGATAAATTCCATATTGTCTTTTTCTTTTTGTATTTTTTTTGTCCTTTTTATTTAAAGTTGATTTAAATGGAACAGATTTAGCTTTTTTATCTGTCCGACAAAATTTTTATTTTTCTTTACAACAATATGGAAGATATTCAAAACTGCCACCACATGCAACCTTCACCTAGGAGCATGACCTCTGACCCTAAATGCCCTTTGACCTTACCCTCTTTTCAGAATCGTAACGTGTCCTTAAATCAGCATAATCGACCTCTAGGTCTTCCACTTTTTTCTTATACTGAAGAACCTGTCAGAAGCAATCCAAAGTATTTGTTAGTTTATAGCGGTTACATGAAATACACAGACATCATGGTTAAATATAATATATAACACTGTCTCTTGTTTAACATTAAGCTCTCATACAACTTAGAGATCTATTCCTGTTATAAATAAATTTTCAAAAGTTTTCACGAGCAATCGAATTTGCTTCGAGTTTGATATCATTTTTACCAGTACTTCCATATTATAGATATGAAATATTGCCTTAAATTAAGTTGTAGTTTGATTTTTGGTGTTTTTTGTTTTTACTCCAAATATTAAATCTGTCCTTTATATGAGAGTGGTTGTTAAAGAAAAGAGAATGTTTTAACCACAGAGAATACACTGTTGTTAGGGTATGAGTACAGAGACGAGATTACAGTCATGTCTACAGCATTTAGGCCCTATTAGTACCTGCCATCTAGGCCCGGGCCTGTGACCTAGCTTAGGTAGTTACCTTTTTCTCTGTGTCTCGTTCCATAATTTCCTTAAACCTGAGATTATCTTCGAAGTCTGTACATTTTTTCTTGTATTGTAAAAGCTGCAAAGTGAATCAGGATTAGAAAACATGACATGGAATGTTAAATCACAGGGAATTTCACATAGGTAATAAAACTGGGTTATATAAGACAAGTTTCACATTTAAATTGGATTATTAAAATTTAATACAATGTGATGTGATGCCGCTCTGAGGCTCAAGGTTATGATCTCTGTTAAAGGAATCTTTACATCTCTCTTTTTTTCATTTTTTAGCATAAACAATTTTAAAATCTAGTAAGTTGATTCAAATAACAATTTTAATTTAATCTTTCTATTACATTGTATATATATTTATCATTTTGGCTATTCCAGGGGAAGTAACTCCTAAAGATTACCAATACTTAAAGACACTGAAAATCTACATCTTTTTTTCTTAATTTGAAACTTACTTATTTGAAATTTACCCTTAAAGAAGCACAAAATAAACAGAAATAAGTTAGATTACTATTTTGGTATGTCTTTAACAACAGGTTTATTGCAGAATAACTGTTATACTTAACAATTTTATGAAACTGAAAAATTTTATTTTTCCTTGATTTTTTTTGTCAAAAAAATTTGTGATAGATAAACTAATTTGACTCCTTGACATGCACAATCAAAAATATGGGTAGATATTTACAAAATAAAATATAAGCTAATAAAATTTTAAACAAATTGGGGTGAATGACAAAAGGGTTTCTGAGAAATTAATGTCTGTAGCAAAATGCATGATAAAAATGGTCATGCAAATGACTGTGTAGCTATATGTGAATGATGAACCTTAATTGATTCAAAGTTGTGTCGTAATTTGGGTCTTCCCTCAAATGGGACTGTTGTGTAATTATAATGGTAATCATCAATAGTGGGGAAGTTGTGTAGAAATAAAGGTAACTGAATTGTATGATCCAGTTGAAATTGGTTTGAGCCCTTATAATTAAACTATTGTAAATAAAATACTTTCGCCACACTGAGCTTTGAGTCGATCTATATGGCAAGCATAATTATGACATTTCCAACTGTGCAAATGATTTTGATAGAACGTTGTATATCATGAAGGTTTCTGTGAATGATCAATTATGATTGTGCATTCAAATGTAAGAAAATATTTATTTTACCTGCCACATTGCAAGGTGAGCAAAAAACTAAACATGAATTAACAAGTTTTGTAAACTGTTCTTTTAAAAAGTTTTTTTTTTAAATGTCTACAATATTCCAGGACAGTACAGAGATGAAGTACTAATAAATCTTTAAGACTAATAATAAATCTTTAAGACTAATAAATCCATGAAGACAAATATACTTTTTTCTTACAAGTATTTCAGTTTTTTGTATATTTTTTTTTGTATTTTTTTCCCATAGTTTCTTTTGAATACATAGTTAAAGGAGACAATATTGCATAACTATACAGTTTAAAAGATCTTATTATTAACAACCTGATAAATATGTCTGATTTTTATAAAACAAAATACTTGTAATAATTCAGGATCTATTTACCAGTAATATAAAAATTATATCGTGGGCAAGACTTCAAGATGACATTTGCTTTAAGTTTTATAAAAAATGTGATTTACTTAAATCAGTTCTTCTTACAAGTTAACTTATTTCCATTTCATTAAACTACAATCATGTATCTCGAAAATTCTTCTTCAAACTATATACATAACTTAAACCTATTACATTTTCATGCATGGGCTCATAGCACACCCAGACATTTTAATTCATGTTTTGTCTTAGAGGAATTAAATTCAGATTAAATTACGAGAAAGAAAAACTTTTAAATGATATCCCGTTACCATTAACATAGACCTGAAATACTAGATCTTCTCATTTTGTTTTAAAAACATTTGAACTATGCAATCAGTCTTTTGATGGGGAAAATAAAACTTTCAAAATCATAATTCCGAGACTAATGTCTCGACAAACAAGTAAACATTAAGTAACATTACTATAGACTTAAATGATACTATTAAAGCTAGTTTAATGTATGACAGACACTGATTATTACCATGTCAAGGAATAACCATGTTAAGTAAGTTGTAACTAAGGGAGGCTACTCTGAGTTTTCTGATTGAGGGAAGTTACTCTTCCCCTTAAAAAAATTAAAAGAAACAAACTTTCATTAAATTTAAAATTTGTGAAGAAAGATTTCTTTGAGTTTGTGCATATATATCTTTTTTAAACCACTATAGGTTAAGAATAAACATGTTATTTCACATTGAACATTGGGATATTATAAGGGCGGTGAAATTATATACTGGTAAATCATGGTTAACTGGTTGAAAATATATACTTATTGGATTGATAATTGACATATTAATTGATAATTGACACATTTATGATATTCTACATACAAGTAGTATGATATTCAACCTTATTAATTAACAACAAGAGCTGTCAGTAGGACAGCAACGCTCGACTATTCTTTGTGCTTGATAGTAAAAAAACCTTGAAAATTTTCTAAGTTAACAAAAGGGCACAATTTTTCTTTAAAACCATGTTACAGTTATAGGCCTTGAAGAAAGTCCTATTATGCTCTCAAAGAAGAGTATAAAATTTCAACTTGTTTCAAAGCCAGATGTTAATAGAATATGAAAATATCTGAGGTGGTATGCAAACTTAAATGTAAATTCTAAGTCGAAAAAGGGGCATAAATCTGTCAAAATGCTTGATACAGTTACCTCCTCCTGTCTACAGGTAAGGGTCATGATGGTGAACAAGTGTACAAAGTTTCAAAGCCATATGTCAATGGACTTTGAAAATATTTGAGGTATTACAAAAACTTTAACGTAAATTCTAAGTAGAAAAAGGGGCATAATTCTGTCAAAATGCTTGATACAGTTACCTACTCCTGTCTACAGGTTAGGGTCATGATGGTAAACAAGTGTGCAAAGTTTAAAAGCCATATGTCAATCGACTTTGAAAATATTTGAGGTATTACAAAAACTTTTACGTAAATTCTAAGTCGAAAAAGGAGCATAATTCTGTCAAAATGCTTAATACAGTTACCTCCTCCTGTCTTCAGGTTGGGGTCATGATGGTGAGCAAGTATGCAAAGTTTCAAAGCCATATGTCAATGGACTTTGAGGTATTACAAAAACTTTAACATAAGTGGTTACGCAGACGCTGACAAATAATAATACAGTCAAATCTGTGTCACATTTAAATCACTTAGTAGATTAAATGAACCTTTTCGTGCATTATCATCTACACAGAAATCAATGGTATGATACTACGTACGTCATCACATTTCAAAGCATTCTGCAGGTGCGTGATGTCAAAGTATCCAACAATTGGAAATGCCAAAATAAAATGCACAGATTTGACTGAAAATAAAACATAATATTATTAGACTCTAAAGTCAAATACATATTTCTAGAAATGATTTTACCTTGGCTTGTAATTTTTGGACTAGTTGAGCTTGACGAGCCTGCCCGTCCTGGTACGCCTGTAGTTTACGTTTGTAACTGGCGTGTTCCTCTTCTAGCTTCCGTCTCAAGTCAATGTTTTGCTGAAGAAGAGGTTTTGATGTCGAGTCACTGGCGTCTAAACTGTCACCCCTCAACGACTGTTCAAGCTGATAATGAAAAAGAAAAGAAAATAGTTAAGAATCTCTCTATTCAGTACAACTTTTGTACACTTCGGCTGAAGATAATCAAGAACTTTTCTAATTTTGAACTCAAATCTCATATGCGTAACTAAGGTTTCACAAATATGGTTTCTTCAGCATTGTATCGGCTAGAATCTGAGTCAAATATGTTAAACTGGAAAATATGTCATCATGACACAAAATATGATAAATCTTGACGAAGAAATCAGTAGTTAACCAAAACATAATATAACACATGCATGAAAGTGAAGATAAATGAATAAATCAACATAAAGAAATTAAAGAATTTAATGAAGTAATGTTTTGAAACTCCATAACTAACATTTTCTTTGAGGAAAAAAAAGGAACACTGAATACAAATGAAAACTAATCCATGAATATTAGAATAAAATTATTATTGTATAATATATGTACATTGTATATATTCACTCACTAAAGCATTGTAGATTAACACTACTCTAAAATTGTATTCAATGAAACTAACAAAAGCACTATTCAAACACACGCTTTAAATGATTTATTGTAAAGCTTAATATTTATAATAAGTTTTAAATTAATTGATCAGCATGCAAAATGCTAAATCCCTTCTACCTGTGAACCTGTACTTACAAAAATTCTCTAAGACAAGTTCACACATTCAAACATTCACAGTGATTACAGTTTCACTCCAGATTTTCACTTGTAATAACTTTAACAATTCTTCACAACCCTTCCTATAATTCTATGCAATGACCCTCGTAATATCACCCTAAAACTTAACCATTGATTTCAAATATTTTATTTATTTCACTGGTTATGTAATGCTATTGAAATTCTTATCAAAAGTTTCAATAATTTCTGTAAATTGGATGGCAAATTTATTAAAACTTTTCTTGCCTAATATTATCAAAGATCTTAACATAAACATGCTATGTATTATAAAACCCTTCTTGCTTTGAAGTCAAAATAACAATTTCTTTTCAATTTCCCAAAGCCCCTCAGACATGCTAAGTAAAGAAGGATATTTTTAATTTCATTCTAATTTCAAATAATAAAGTCACCTGTTATGATTATAAATTGTTTCGTTACAGACTAATATTTATGTAACCGTTCAATGCTCTACTGAGTAATAAAATTCTAAATTAAAGGCAAACAAACCGAATAACTTAGTCTGACTTAATTCTAATGTTCCTTCTCATTTTGCTTACAGTAAGTGTGAAGATAATTTCCACTCAATGCGAGACATTCTTGTTATGTATGTGAGACTCCAATGCTTTAAGTTTGTAAACATCTTTTAGTTTAAACTCCTATGCTTTTAAAGTTTGTAAACATTATTTAGTTCAGACTCCAAAAGATTAAAGTTTGTAAGCATCTTTCAGTTCAGACTCCAATGCTTTAAGTTTGTAAGCATCTTTCAGTTCAGACTCCAATGCTTTAAGTTTGTAAACATCTTTTAGTTCAGACTCCAATGCTTTAAGTTTGTAAACATCTTTTAGTTCAGACTCCAATGCTTTAAGTTTGTAAACATCTTTTAGTTCAGACTCCAATGCTTTAAGTTTGTAAACATCTTTTAGTTCAGACTCCAATGCTTAAAGTTTGTAAACATCTTTTAGTTTAGACTCCAATTCTTTTAAGTTTGTAAGCATCTTTTAGTTAAGACTCCAATGCTATAAATTTGTAAACATCTTCTAGTTCAAACTCATATGCTTTATGTTAGAAAACAATCTTTTAGTTCAGACTCTTATGCTTTAAGTTTGTAAACATCATTTTGTACATTTTCCATTATCTGAGTGCCCTTACTGCAAACCCTTTCTAACCCCCTAATCAAAATAAAGTAATAATTAATTAATTAATAATTTACAAATACAACACATATGTTGTAAGTCTGACCAGGCTCTAAAATACTGTTGGTAGCATTTTGTTATAGAAATCCCTAATAATTTTAAAATATATTTGTCCATATTCAGAGATGGGCAATTCCATTACACAAATTTATCAGATTAAGAATTAATAAGTCATTTGACGGGAGAATGTTCTAAATACATTGATTCTTCATAAAAATGAGAGCCTTAAAAGTCATGTTTTATATTGTGATTGACCACTTATAAAATGGTTGTTCAGCATTTTTTTTTGGCAGATTGTCTTGAAATAAATAATGAACTGCAAATAAACAATCAATATATTATACTTTACTGTGTGTTACAATTCAAACTTCATACAAATTGTAACATTTCTTTACTTCAGGCCAATTCTGATATAATTAAATACCATAATGCATCCATGATATGTCTAAAGACTTAAACGCGACATGTCTCAAATAAATCTTTTATAGCGCTAACACATGTCAAACTACAGCTTAATATGTTTATTCACCATCTTAAATATCTAAAATCTATCAGCCATTGTTTACAATAACAAAGCCTATCTAGTATAGTATACAATGACAAACAAACCATCTGATATAGACATCTTTACAATCCTTATGTCCTATAAGCACAACAGAATACTGATGGACAGTGCTCTACAAAAACTATTAAACATTTAATAAGTGTTTACGTGACCTCGTTCAGCAAATATTACTTTATTACCTCCCTTTATCTCCAATTACAGCATAATTATTACCTCCCTTTAGTATTAAAAAAAACAACCTTTTTACTTAAAGTTTCATTTTTTCTAATTGTTTAATTATTTCTTTTCTTACTGCTTAAGTTCTTAGCATGTTTTTTTATATTCTCTCTTAAAATGAAATAAAAGTAGTTGGTACTCTATTACCTCCCTTTAAAACTTCAAATTTAGAAACTGTAGCATTTTCCCTTTAGTTTAGCTTTATAATCATTTGTATAACAAATGTTGCAAGTAATGGTAATGATATTTCACAAATATCTTCTTTTAACATTCAATGCACTTATAATGTTTTCTCTACTAAAAATATATAAGAATCACCTCCCTTTAAATGAAACAGAATTATCTACCTTTGTTTAATATTCCTGAGGCAAAGTAAATACAGTACTCTAAACAATTGTAATAAGCTCTAAATAACACTAAAAAAACTACAAAAAGCCAACCTTGAAAAATGCAGATTCATTCAATGTTCATGCAATGCCAAGAGTAAAGCATAGAAAAATATTAAAGCAAAATTTCCCAGTTCTTATCTAAACTTTACACAGCTACAGTAAAATGAGTTTAAGCAAACATTTGTTCAAGAAAGTATTGTGTCCTAGCAATATTTGATATCCTGTGTAATGTATGGAAACATTTTAGCACCCTATTATTAGAGTTCTGGAAGTAAACAGCAGAATGACGATGGTATCGAAAATTGTGTCAACTCAGCAGTTTTAAATAAACAGTGAAAACAAAAACAATTGCCATCATTGGCTAGAAATCTAAAACCACTGCTTAACTTAAATCAAAAGAGTAGAGTAAAAATATTCCACAATTATGCCAATAATTTTTACACAAAAGAAATCAGCTTAAAATTTATGTAATTTCTATTGGAAAATTAAAGTACAAAATTTAAAATCATTGCAGTGCAAGTTTATCAAATGTACTTATTATTTATACAGGACAATACTGTTAAAAGCAAGCTTTTGAATGCAAAATTTAATGTGCTACTTTATACTTAAATCTACTGTTCATGCATTTTCATTAGTTGTTGAAACTAACAAATAAATATAATACAAATTCATTAAACTTCTATAAGGCATAATAATAATTATAATAATAAGTGTTGTTTGCAGCTCTATGACCTCAAAGAAACACATCTCAAATGTAATACTTTTTATTTATACTAAAATACATACATATTAAATCTTTTAAATTGTGTTAGGAAAACTTCAAAACTTTCAAATTAAAAGCCCCACACCTCCCAAAAAATTCCCTTTTATATATGCCTATCCATTTGTAAAGTATAAAGTACTAAACATTTCTAACGCAGCAAACAAACACTTTCTTATTAAGGCCTATTTGATATATCAAGTATATATATGTATATTTTTATTCCTAAGCATCGGCTTGTGTGGACAACTCACTGTGGTACTTTCATTTTTAACGTCCCTTTCTCCGTTATTGTTATATGACCATCTCGCCTGAACCTGATAGGTACGAGACGAACTCGATACTCTACTAACGGCAGACTTATTAAGTTGATTCTCCATGTACTATTAAATAACAAACAATATATAACAAATATTATCATAACTATACTAGGAGCTATAACTATAATTTTCAGAAAATATAATGGGCATGTTATGACAAAACATTCCATTTGTCTTTGGCAGGAAATCAAAATTTACAACCTAATCTGAACTGTGCTTTAAAAAAAGCATAACACATTAAGTATATTATTTCAGTTTAAGATAAGAAGTCCTAAACCAGGGCCTTTTTACCCTTCTTTGCTGTAGCCTGTATCAGGCTACTTCCCCAAGCCAAATTACACCCTTTTTTCCCCAAAAAACAGTCTAAAATTCCCCTTCTGGCAAATATTTCCCCTTTAACTGAAGAATAAAACTTGTTAACAAACTATCTTGTTTATAAATAGATAATTGTTTTGTCCAATGAAAGCTAATAATTCAAAAACCCAATAGAGGGATACCTTGATTTAATACAATTGATGTAAACTCAGAGCCTCAGTCTGAGTTTGCAACTTTCTAAAAACAGCATGGGACATCCCTGCTGCCTTATTTTTTAGTGCACATGTGATTTGTTACGACAATATGGCGACCGATACAATGTCACTAATGTAAACAATGTCACAGAACAAGAAATAAATACGATTGAGTGACGTTTGTAATTGTTTATTAAAAATTGGATGAATTGATGACCTTGTTAATGAAAGCCCATGTGTCCGAGTAGCACAATATGCCCAACTGTCTGAAATAGCGAGCCTAGCACATCAGTGCCAGTAATACAGTGTAAACTGATAATAATGTACCCTCTGAATCAAACCAAGAACCCTCACATGACCAATGTAAAATACTATAAATAGGAAATATGAGTTAATATAAAGGGGCAATAAATTGATCTGTAAAAAATGTTTTTTACTCCTGTTGGACAGAAGGCTTAGTACAATAGTAAACCTTAAATGTGACTGGAGGAAGATATGCAAATAAATTATGATATTTCCCCCCGAAATGTGTGGAAATATGATATTTTCCCCAAAAATGTGAAAATCACGCATTTTTTCCCCACAAAAAGGGCTAGGGCCCCTTCCCCAAAACTAGTGAAAAGGCCCTGTAAACATAAGCAGTGACTACCCCAAGTCAACAGTGACTATAGAGCATTAGGTAAGCCTGACCAATCATACTGTCTGACCAGTCTTGGGCTCTTTTACTTTTTGACATTAAATTTTGATGTATAAAATCCCTTCAATTTACAATGGAATAGCTGAGACATTGGGAAATAATTGATCTAACCATGTCTTTCTAATTTACATCATATTTTGTTTAAATTACACAAATAAAATGTATAACAAGCCATTTATAATATCACAGAACAACAGTTACTGTTCTTAGTAAATTTAAGCACCTGGTCAGGTTTCCCAATAATTACAAAGCTGCTGAAAAAGTGGCTGCATTGTTTACTTAATTGTTTCAAAATCTGTACTCTCCATATTTGAACAACTCAATTTCCCTCCCTTATTGTTGAATAATCACCCCAAAGTAAGCAGAATGTACCCAAAGGTACACAAACTTAGGTAATGCCCAGTAGTTTATCACAAATAATCTAAACATTTGTGTAACAATTTCATAATCAGCAGTACTCTAACCTGGGAAAGTTGTTCCGTTAAAATGAAGTTCAATTAAAAATCAATCAATATTATACAAACAATACAAACTAAACAATGCCACAGTAATGGACAACATGTCAGAAATTGGCTCAAATCATTGAATCTAAGTTAAACAATCAGGCTCTAATCAACTATGATAATAATGCCTATATTTATAAAAGGAAGTCACGTTTTCTTTCGTGATACTGTCAGGGTACAAGTAACTACCAATATTACAGTCTTATAATTTACTGTAAATAGACAAAATGTTCTAAAAAATTCATAAATTTTTAATCAATGTTGACATATTAAACATTTATCAGAAATAACAAATTCTTTATTCAGTAACAAAATTGGACTGCAAGGCATTATCTGTTAAAACATGCAATCTTGAAAAAAAAAAAAAAGCACACCCCAACAACAACAAAAAAACAATATTATCTCAAACTGAAATCAATACAGTATAATCCTATAAATCTATATTTACCTTTGATTAGATCTCTTAATGTGACAAGAAAATCACCAAGAACAATTTACGTTCAACTTTGAACTTTTCAAAAATACCGGACCCCAACTTCCTCAAGCAGAAAAAAAGGCTTGCGTATGCAATTTACATTTCTATTAAAAAGAGATCTACATTGGACAAACATGGAGATATTGCCAACTTGACGTAACTAACTTGAAAAGAATGCCAAACTGTACAAATCAATAATCTGAATCAATACAGTAATCTTTAAATCACAATAGCGAAATGAAAACTGCATTAAAATTACTTAATGTATCTTAAATCCTATCAACAGACAAGAGGGCTGTTCATCGTACGAGGGCCCTCTTACTACCATCACAGCAACCTTAAATGTATCCAAATCTTGTATAAATCTTATATTTTGATATATGGCATTTATAAATTGTTTCCTGACAGTTTTTTAGCTGTTGAATGGTCATGTTAAAGCTTTAACATTTTACAAGAACGCAAAAAAGTATCAGTGTTGAATCCCTTAAGCACTTTACAAAGATGTTGAAAAACTACAATACGTTGGTACTCTTCAGTCTCAAGAAAAACTGCCATAAAATCGTAAAATCTTTAACATCTCTTAAGCACTTTTCAATGATGATAAACATAATAATACTCTTCCTGAAAAAACACTGTCTTAAAATCTTTAACAGGCTTATAGTACTTGTCACCAATGTCAACTTTCTGAATGATTTCTTCGATTTTTTAACTTACACTCCACTCCTTCACTTCAAAGCAGGGGGCACATCTGGACAGGATACCTTTAAATTTCCCAAAATAATCAAAGACTGTTCTTAAAGGATGAAAAAATGAAAGCCTCTAGATCTTAAAGAGATAAAAATTATTGAGTTTGAAAACCAGTCTAGAATCAAATGATCTGATTGGCTCTTTAAACAGATTAACATTGAAATTAACCAATTAAAATGCTGCATTCTTTGACTGGTATGCAAATATCAACTTCAAAACTCTGAACGAATGCTTCCCTACTGATAACAAAACAAGTCTTGATAACCTGTGATTGTACTAAAAGAGACAACAACATTGTGGCAAAAAACAACAACATTATGGTATGCAACAGAAACACAAAGGTTACATTAATTGAAACAAAAAGAAACAAAGTTATACACTAACATTGTCAACTCTTTGTCTCACCAGCCCAGGTCGAGGTCGGTCATCTTCCGGGTCAGCAAGGTCAATGCTTGCCCCTGACCTTGGTGACAAAAGATCACTTTCTTTCAACTCTATCGCAGAGTCTGCCAATCCGTCCGAGAGATACTTGTCCATGACTAAGAATTTGCTTCACTTATTTTAACTTCTATGCTTTAACAAGTAAAAATCTATAACTATTATGTAGTTCAGTAAAACATCATCCCTTTCGTTACACAAGCTATATAACTTTGTTTCCTCAGAACAATTCCTTATTTTTTCACTTGATTTAGAAATATTCTTTCATACAGTGTCAAAGAGGGAACAAATATAAGACAAAAATCAGTTACTAGTGCATGTATTCCACCATAATCAAACTCTAGAACGATATTTTAAATGCCTCAAAACTTCATACACTTTGAGAATTATCCAACTTAAGTCCAATGTCTAAGTTCCAATGAAAAATATGCACTTAATATCTTCTTTCGCTCCAAATCACAAGTTTTTTCGAAATACTGAAAAAAATGTCTTATTTTTGCTACATATTCAATTACGATCGTATTTCATCTTTTAAGCTGAAAATCCTATTGATAGGTAAGAAGCATTGTAGTATGAAAAAAGATAATAACTTGCAATTTTACGCTACACAACTACATTAAAGATGAAATTTACTAAAAAAAATCTGTATTAAAATTTTCTGATCCCCCAATACCCCGACCTGACCTACAAAATAAAAATTTCTGCAATGCGATCTTGCAAACCTATCTCTGTGTCAACCATACACCCCGACTTCGGTTCAATACAATAAATACACCTTAATCACCGGACTCAATCAGTAAAACAGAAGATTCCATTGGAACGATATTGAAAAAAAACAGTTATAATAAAGCGACTGGTTGGATAAATTCTCAGAGCCTCTGTCATCAGATGATTGTGCTATTATAAAAGCTTCAATATAACCAGATATGGCTCTCCTGCTCGTAACGGGCCATAAATTATTCAAAACAAGAGCAAGTACTTATATTAAGATATCCCAGCCTTAAAATGTCTTTGATATTTGTTACTCGTATACATTGTGCTATAAAATTTTATCTTCCGTAAAACAATTGATAGCTTGGTAAAACGGAGCGCTAAATGAGCGTTTTATGAAGCAATTCAAGAGGACCGGTATAAGATTGGCAGTTACGATGGTAATGCGTTAAGTTTCGGTTCGAGATAGGGGGACGACAATCCTAGCTTTCTTATCAGCGCAAAACTGAAATATACAATCAATCATGGACCATAGGTCAACTCATCAAAGTTGTAGTAAAGATAACAAAACGGTTTATTGTCAGGGGTACGTACACTGGGACATTTCCCATATATATCAAGGCCTTACTCGCATCGAACCATATATATCGAGGCCTTACACACACCTAACCTTCTTCTCCCAACATTTAAACATTATCGATAATGATATACACCGAAATGTCAAACAATAAGGACCGCAATGTAAACACTTGAAAAATGAGTAAAACTTTAGCTACTGGGTCCTCCGCAAACATCAGTAATATATTTTCAATAGGTAAATACTAAGGCTAAATCAATAATAGTTTTAAATATTTATCTCTTAAATACAAACATTAGTCGACAGACTACAGATTTACAAAGGTTGTTAAGTGAACATCAACTCAAACTATCAATTTATATATAAATGAAATAATTTCTAAATTATAAATCAGCAGCTTTTATTAAAAGAAGATCCATTTCAGCTGTCAGCATCAGATGAAATCTGTAACTCAATTCCTTTCCTTATAAGTATTATAATGTAAGTCACTTCACTTAAAACAGCATAATTTTTTGAATTAAAATTGTCATAAAAATACAGATACCATCAAAATGACCAAAAAAATTCAACGACTGAATAAAGTTAATCACTATCAATGCAGGGGGAGTAATCCTGCTTTTAAACTTCTTTAAATGCAATTAAATTAACATAACTAGTAAACAGACAAGATGACGATCTTACACACAGAACAGAAATTATGCAAAAAAACCCCCAAAATTCCAAGTAAAATTTGCATATATTCGTAAAAATTGACACACTATGAAAAACAGAACTAGTTATTCCGCTAATAAAAGCACACAACACTGCGTTAGAAAACCTGGCAGTTTCAACCAATTTCTCAACCATACAACATCTAAGCAAAAATTTATATCTCATGAGGGAAGTTGTGAAAGCAATTTATTAACTTGACATCATATTACAAAATCGTATCAGTTTTCAATACTTATATGAATATTACATAGATTAATTAATAAAATAACATCCAGAACAATGACTATTACACACATGATAATTATATAACCATTAAACCATATAATCTTATTATTACCTGTGAAGTTTGACACCTGAATAACATACTGGACAAATTATATTTCTATCTTTACTGTCTCTTTGAATTTTACGCCAATTTTTAACATACAGTGTATTTTAAGTCATATCTCAGCAGTCCACCTAACTGACTTAATAACAAACTAGTAATTATCAATTCTCGTATGAATGTATTCTAGGCTTATTGAGGGTCCATCTGCCCTCTCAGGCACTGGGAGCATGTCACCATTCATGTACATAAAATGTTATTATTATCTACCAAAAGGTGAGCTATATATTTTGAATTCAGTAATTCACTGAATGATATTAATTATGTAATATGCAAGTCGATTTATTATCAATTTCTCCACAAGTGACCAACAACTTATCCCATATGAGATCTGAGACAACTGGCCAATTTACTACCAATCAATAGTCATAAAGAATTTTCGCCTCACCGAGGATCGAACCCTCGTGACTTCTAGTTTCAAGTCTAATGCTTTCCTCCTTTGAACTTAACCTCTTTCACATATGTATGTAATGTACTTATCAAAGGGAGGTAATGAAAATTTAAAATAAAATATTCTACTAAAGGGAGGTAATCTGATTAAGAATGCAATTTCTGCACTTGGAACAATTAAAACTTCATCTATCCATTACAATAATTTTATTGCACCCAGCCTTTTTTCATTAAATCATAAGAAATGTTCTTTATAAATAATACTATATAATTTTAACATAATAATTTATGGTATTTCACCAAAATACCCTGTTTAAGCATTTTTTATTTAAAGCTAGTATACAAAAGGGAGATAAGATCTCTATTGAAAAGGTGTTAAAAACAATTTAAAAATAAAGTAATGTATTTTAACAATTTACAAAATATTTCATCTACAGTTACAATGTTTTTCAGTGCCTATGAATATATGGCATAGTATGAATGAAAAAAATATGCTTAATATTTGAATTTATGCCATCTTTTATTGTTAAACAATGCACAACTTGAAGTTTTATCAAAGTTTGACTTAAGATTGCCTAAAATTAGGTCAAGTTTTACAAAATATTTATATAAATTTAAAAATAAAGTTTTATATATTTATGTTGCAAGTAAATACCTTGTTGGTAATTAAATCACATCCATGGACTAAGAGTTCGTTACAGACAATACTGTTTCTCAGAGACATATAACATGTTGATAAATTATATAAATATTAACAATTTCACAAAACGCTATGAAACATTTATTAACTCAAAATCATTGCCCCATAACACTTAAATATACCATATTGGTCACTCAGCACCTGAGCAGTAAAACACTGGAAACATTTGAAACATCATTTGACCTGGTGTTACTATTCAATGTGTCACCTGTCAACTCTCCTTAGAATTAACTAATATTGTGCCCCATCTTTAAATTATACCATTAAATGGCAATCAAGTCAATAATTCTTCCACCAAGTGACTTCTGTACTATAATCATTATATATGAAAATTAATACATCACAAAGTAACAATTCATTAATATTAATACGGGAAACATTTTCTGGTCAATTACAGTTATCAAATATTAATAATAATAATCATTTTATATTTTCATCTCAGTGTCGGCAAATTTTACACTGAACAATCAAAAGAGTCCTGTAGTTTATTACACAAACAATAAATTTTATTATTAAACTATATCAAAAGAATTGAATCAATTAAAAAATCTTTTTCAGCCTTTCTTTAATATTTGCTTAGAAGAGATCCAATCTTAAATAACTAATGACTTTAAAATAACATTCAAACTGTTAAAAAAAAGACATTTTCAAATAATTGTGTTACTTTTTTTCATTATAACTTCATGGTGCCTTATTTCAACATGTTTCCTGTGTTTGCACCCTGCGATTAAATGTGAAAACCTAATTAAATGGGAAAAACATGTATTTATGGAGATCCTGACTCCAGTATTTCTTTTAAATGGATGCAGAACATTAAACAATTTTTTTTATCAAACTTTCTGGTAACGTCTTTGTAGAAAAGCTAATTCTTTTTAAACGTTAAATCAATATATTCTTCTATGATAAGACTCCGTTTTTTTTCAGCTTTGACAGTTTAATTCTCCACTAATAATCTTTTAATAGGTTAATAACAATGTAATGTATTGACTGTAGAAAAATTAATCATGTCATACCCCATTTTGTTAATGTCACTTTACATTTGCTTTTACTCAATGGACTGATAAAAAAAAAGAAAATTTATTTAATTCACAATGTCTTAAGTACAATCGTTATACACTAAAGTCTTATTCCTTGAAAGAAGCTGTAGAAAACAGTGTTTCATGATTTTTTTTTATTCAAAAACCATTAATCGTGGTTTGGTAAGTCCTTCTTTACTTCATATATGTTTTGTGGGCAACCTTCAAAACAACACTGACCAATTCTTCTACGAAAAAATTAATACATGTGTGTAAATAAAATATTATAATGCTCTCTCTAGTTTAAGCAATAGGAACATGTATATGTGCAAATTATAGATAAATTACTTTATCATTCAAATCTTAATAAGGATTGATTCTGGCTTACCAAATTTTATTTACATCAAGTGTTTTTTTATCAGTATTCCTTTTCTGAAAATAACCTCACAAGGTCTACTTGATTAAAATATCCAGTAGAAAACATTGATAATAGATTTTTTTATTATTTTGAATATAAATCAAGCATATCCTGAATGGAGTTTTTGCTTACTTAACAAGAAATGAGAGAATAATGTTACCAAACATTCACAATATCATTCAGAATTCAATATCTGTTAAAAGTAA